CTGATTGTACAAAAGCTACAAAATGTATATAGCCCTGATTATAGGAAAACTACATTAAATATATTGTACTGCTTATCAGAAATTACAAAAAGTATATCGCCCTGATTATACAAAAACTACATAATGTATATATATGTCTGTGAATATACAAAAATGTATATTGGCCTGATTATACAAATTATACAAAAACTACAAAATGTATATCTCTTTATCTTAATTATATCTTATAGAATATTGATCTTAAAAGATAACCAGTTAACATGAGTACTGAAGTGGACAGGGCTTATAGTCCAACTGATCCTGCAAATACATCTGCTATGTCTAATGATATAACATTAAATGGAACCAATGAAGCCATATCTCCAGATCCCAGGTAATGTTATCTATTATTAGCATCAGTTGCACTGCATATTTACCCCAGGGCATCCATAATACGGTTGGGGTTCCGGCAATGTTGGATTTTAAACAACACATTAACTCAAATTACCCCCAAAATGCATACAATATCACAAATGTATATTATCCACAATTTTTCTGGTGTGTACACAAACCGTCCCTTTGGTGGCATCTGTATACATGTCTATCAGACCTTAAACTATTTTCATGTGCATGTGTAGTACCCTGGTATGCCATTTATTGTGTAAGACTAGCCTGATCAATGTTATGTCACTGAATTATTTTTACTCACCTGCAAACAGATTGTCAGATACTGTCAAGATTTCATCTACCTAATAATGAAATATCACAATATAATTTATAAACAAATTACAGATTTTAAAATGTTCTTGCATACTGTAATTGTTTAACCACCCGTGCTCGGCTAAGTGCCTCCACCCCTTGTGGGATATTTCTGTTTTCAGGGTTAAATTTGCCTTAAAACATGATCTCTGAATACAACTAATCAAATTTATGTAATACAGCCAACACCATTAATATATTGTGAATGCATAGACCACGGTAACCGTACATAAACTACGCTTCAACACTCACCTGTAAACAACCTAGAGAGGTGCTAAATACTTCATTCCATATTCAATTTACCATTCAAAAATTACTAATTACCAGTTTTTTAAAACAATCATGATTTTTTTTCGCCGAAATCAATTCTAATGGATGGTATAATGACACCAAAAATTCATCTCTAGATTGCAATGGCGGAATGTATTTCGGAATTTATTTTGAGTTGTGTTGGTACAACACAGCATTCTGATTGGTTAATAACAGATTTGACCTATGCCAACCTGTACCAGATATTATTTATTACTAATATAATCTCTAAGTGACATAATTTAGGCTATGGTTGCATAGTTATGGTCACAAACGTTTTTATGATATATTGGCATTTGCCTTAAAATCTAACCAGGTCTTACAGGTCACATGGTTAAAAGTCTGAATGTGGTTCTATTTTTACGTTTAAGTTATATTGCGAAACATGCACACAAACTGACCTTGAAACCAATCTAAGTCTTGCAAACTTACCGGTTCATTGACACAACCTTTGACCTTTTGTCCTGGAAAGCAAACAGCCCTGCTTATCGCATTTGCAACATATTAAAGCAGGAGGGTGATCACCTGCGTATGTGCAGGAATTGAGTACCAAACGTTGATAACAACACAAGATAAAAATGCAAAGGCTCATGGGTAGACACTTGTTTGTAAACAATGACATGCTATGGCCAATTTGATGCAAGCGCAGGTGACGACTCCCTCGTTTTAAACAATTCTGGTACATGAAATGAAATGCCTTCCTGGTTACATGAGGAAACATACCAGAGTTGTATTGCAAACTTACTGAGTAGTACTTGCTGGTGCAGATAAGCAACACATTACACACACATACAGCAATAGAATACACTAATATTGCTTGTTGTAAAACTGTATCATTTGCTTATCTGTAAAACATGATTAATAATACTGGCATAATTATCAAAAGATAAAAAACTTGTCAAAGTTGAAGGAACATTTGTGCCCTCCCTGTAAACTGTATCTCTACTATATCCTGTTGTTGACAAAGGTATTTGATCGGTTGATCTGTATGTTTTCAAGTTACTGTACAGATTGAGCATAACTTAATATTTAGCTAGCTTATATCTTACACATGTATCTAAATTGTGAAGTGTAATCTGCCGAGATACATGCATGTCTGTCTTGTGTTAGTAACATAGATACATGTAAATAATAAAGAATATGTTGAAATTGTCGATGACATTGATACTTAAAATTTGTTAGGTTTTACAAAAAAAAATGAAGCTATCTGATGAGGTATGTCTGAGGATCAAAATGGATACCACCCCTTGAATGCTCTGGCACATTTCCCGAAATAAACATTGTGCGCCCCTTAGTTGCGCCATCATTCTGCACCGTATCCTGTCCCCTTTTTTTTGCACCATCAAAAAAATTCATATTGTGCTCCATCCATGAATTTTCTCAATGGTGCACTATACAGAATGATTGCGCAACAAGGGGCACACAATGCTTATAAGTTATTTTGGGAATTGCGCCAGCGCATTCAGGTGGCGCAAAGTACCAATTTTGAGCCTCACACTTACCTTAGTTGATAGCAAGCTTGAAATATTAGTTACGTCCAAACTGTACTGTACATGTATATACATGTCATTATGTTATCTTTGGTATCTGAAATGTGCGTGTATGCGAAATTAGTGAAAATACAAACTTAAGGCAAAAGATTTGTTTTTAGTAATCAACCAGATTGTCAAAAATCGTCGGGTTTTGCACCTCAAATGGTAAACTGTTTTTATGGAATATGAACAAAATTTGAGGTGCAGATGATGTTATGTTATTTTAATGTGCTGTTGCAACTCTGAAAGAAGTCTGAGGTGAAGAATTTGATCTTACATTGTACTTGAATAGTAGTGGTTATTTCGTGGTATCAATAAAAACACAATATTTAAAACTAATATATCAATTTTACTTTATAAAGTACGACGAAGACTCCTGGAAAAAAGTCATCTGAAACGATTGATACAAGTATGATGAATGGTACTACAGAAGAACATACTGTAAATGGAGAAAAGGATACCCCTGCTGTGCTGTCAGATATTCAAATCCAGACTGACTTCAAAGAGCCAGCTCCTTTGCTAGTTGTTAAACCAGGTATTAAGGCGCTTTGTTTATTACCCATGATGCATTGTGATAATTCACAATAAATACACAATTTATAACATCCACACTTTTTCAAAAATACTCATCTACATTGCAAATGTCGCTGATTAAAAAATATATTAAAATCTCTTACTTAAAATCAGATTACTATAAATTTATGTTTCAATCTTTCCCATCTCCTAAAGCAGTCCAATTCAGGTTTTTCATACTCACTGATGCCTATTCAATAAGACGATGTAAAATATAAAACATGTATGAAAAACATGATTTTGTGAGTTTAGTTCCCTGAGTTCTAAGTCAGACGAGTATGGTATATAAAACTGCCATATAAAGTGTCAAATCATTTGCAAACATGCATAGTTGTTTTGGGATGTCAGTAATGAATGCATTTTGTAGATTCATTATCCCAGCTCAGATCATATGTAAACACATTTAATATTAGCTTTTAAAAAAAAGACTAGAACACCAACTGCTATCATCTTTTTTTTGACTCCCGTGTGCGAAGCACAAAAAGGGAGTCTTTGCAGTTAGTATGTGTGTATATGTGTGTGTGTGTGTGTGTGTGTGTACGTGTGTCCGTCTGTTCCACTGATATCTCAAGAACCATACATCAGTTTTTGATGAAACTTGGTGCATAGATGCTCTGGGCCAATGCGCAGATTTGATTAGGTTTTGGTAAAAATCCATGCATATTAATTACCTAATTTGCATGATAATTAGCTGATTTTTGGCTGTTTCA